AAGTCTCGATCGACGACTACATCGTACGATTTGCGAGGCGATAATCGATCTTTCATATGGTACTCCGGCAGTTGATCGCGGGATAATGCGGTAGAGACCAATTATCGGCCGAAATAGCGCCGCTTGCGTAGGCCAATATTCGTTCGGATCACCTCGTTAGTCGATGATAATGGCACCGTGCGTAGGTGTATGTGCGTATTCCAACGGATGATGTAATTTACTCTATTGGCGTAATAAACGCGATGCGCCACCCATGTTTTACATTACGATCGTAATCGTAATTACAACGTGGATCGGTATATTACGAAATATCGAAGTGAAATTGACATTTTAATCGTAATTCGAGAATCATAAAATTTCACAATTTCATGTTTATCTGCTTTTTTATGTAGTTTTTTTTTTTTTTTATTACTTTTCAAATGTCTATATAGCTGCTCACAAAGTGATAGCAGGATCCCGACTTTGATGGCGACAATGACACTGATACATCCATCGATACTGATGGTTCTTGGATCGGTCGGGATTACCGGCGCGTTTCCCGGGTAATGCTGTTTCCTTGTTTCTCTTCCGCCTGGCTGAAGGGCGTATTGTGGTCGGGGCTATCCCATTACGAGGCCACTGTTTGATGCCGGCGGGAGAAGGATGGACATAGGTGAATGGATCACTCGCGATCCCCCCGTCGATTAATTTGCAGTTCTATCTCAAGTGTTTATCACGCGCTTCTAACGGTCGTCATTACGTTAGAGATGTTTGCGAAGATTTAATGTCTATTAAAGAGTAGTAATTCTTACAGTCACACGTTTATTGAGTTATCAAAACACTCGTATTATAACGTGTAAAACGTAGATAATAACAGTATATTAATTTTGTTATGTAAAAATAATTAAATCTCTCAAAATTTCATGTAAAATTTACTTTTTGAAGTACATGTCAAACTTTCTCTTTTCCTCTTTCTAATATGTCCATTACTATTTATATTTTTAATGTAAAACATTAATAATGATTATATATTATTTATTCCGTATTTAAATGTATGAGCTTACTGTAACAAGTCTTTCCTCTTTCTCTTTTTTTCTTTTAATTAAAAGTTAATTAAAAGTGGTCATATACTATATAATTGCTACAAAAACGCAGACAATAGATACAATTTTCAAATTAAGATATTGTGAAATCACAAAGTTCAATTCAGGCACCAAGATGTTGACGCAACAAGACTATCACACGTGCCTTATTCTCGTCTCGTCGCAGAGTTTTCTCCACAAGGAAAATTCGGTCTGGGTAATCGCGCGAACGGATGTCGGGCTCTCGATCATTAAATTGATATTCCGTGAATTGGTGTCAGGAGCACTCGATACCTCGCTTGAATAGGCTTGTTTCGCGTTGAATCGCGAAGGGTTCGTATTCGAACCAGCGGCGGAGGGTCGCGTTCCTCCATCGGACGCGAACAAACTGGTCGCCCTTTCGACGGAGGACAATAGAGCTTACGTTCATTCAATATTTTCCATCAACAGGCTGCACGCGCTCATCTCGTTATAAAGTCTGTTTGATCGGCAAACATCGCGGGTTCGCGTCCTGGATAGTGCAATCGGCGCGACGCGCACACACGCAGGCGGATGCTCCTCTCATGTGAGAAGTATTCATCTCTTAAAAATGTGTTCGCGATACTCTCAGCCGGATGAAACGCTTCGTTTAATTTAATTAAAAATTTTCTTATTCGGCTTTCCGCGCAAGTAATTTTTTTATTACATTTGTAGTGTTTGCCGCGAATCTATTTCGAAATTTATTATCAAGCGTGCTTATCATTTTTTGCAAATTATATTCCCCATTAACTGATTGGCTCTGCCATCGTATACAAACTATAGGTGTTTCTAATAAAGAAAATAATGCGTACAAAGGATTTAAAAAAGGACATTCTTTTCAAAAGAGACATAATTTTAATAAACGAATAGTCCGTGCGTTGATTAATATAAATTGAAATAAAAAGATACGAGTTATAATTAAGAAAAATAGAAAACTCATCAAAGTCTATTATTGGAGCATCGCGGATTTTCGCTGCACGGATTTATAAGCACCTCGGGTATTATCAAGATCGTAAGTAATCTTGATGGTCTGCGTGCATCTGTGCCCAATATTCGGGCGGTTGTCTTGGAGAGTCACCCCTCTCACGCCACTCTCGTATTCTGTCTACTTCGTACGACGACAACTCAACTCAACGCGGAGAGAACCGATGACAAACCTTACCATCTAAACAAAAGGCCTTATGCCGCAAATGCGCACCAGACACGCAATTTCCGCGCGACATGTAAATCGCACAAAATGAATTTCTGCCAATCACGCACGTGCGCCAGCCGCGCGCGATCGCGGAAGGTCATATGGTCCCGTATTGCGCGCGCGTGTGTGTGTGTGTAGTATGTGTAAAGCGTATTTTCGAAAAAATGCATGCCCATCTATGTAACAAAGCCTATAAAAAAAGAGAATGTAGTACATATAACAGAGAAAGCGCTGCGTTGTTGAAACAAAATTGCATTTATCGATAGAGGCACTTTTTTTATTTTTTGTCACGTTTTATGTGTGAAACAATTATTATATTAAATTGAATATTTATATCAATTATTATTACGTTATTCTTATTGCTAAAAGTGCAATAAAGGTTCATGTAATTAAAAGCGATTTTTCAGCGTGTAGCTTTTAATAGAGTTAGTGGCCATAATATATGCATCGTTTATTGCATTATTTTTTTTTTTCAATAATTGTAAAACGGAAATATTCACTTTTACAATTAAAAAGTCGATCGGCTATAAAGCTTTAAATACAGAGCAGAGATGAATATTAACTTATGATCCGTATGAATATTAAATTCATTCGAGAAATCAAATAAATGAGATATATTAATATGCTCGCTATAATATTTACTTTCCCGTTATATAGTATTACGTTATATGGAGCAATATCGAATCAACAAAATGAAAAAATAAGTACAAAAATAATGAGCCGATACCAACATGAGAAGGTTGTTAACAGATAAAAATATTTTAAAGAACGTAGATAAAATTTTAAAAATATCTTGAAGAGATAAAAATAGGACGTTTCGACACTTGTTTATGTTTCTTCAGTCATGAATATAATATGCATAAAAAACATGTTATACGAGAAAGATAAAAAACATATCGTTGAGTTAAAACGGCATAATGTTAGTTGAATTTGCGCTATTTACGACTAAGGAGACACAAGTAAATGTCGAAACATCCATTTATTATCAAAAATATTTTTACAATTTTATCTCTATACGTTCTTTAAAAAAATTTTATTTCTTAACCATCTTTTCATGTTTGTATCAATCCATTATTTTTGTATTTATTTTTTAAATATAATGTTTTTCTATCTAACAAAAAGAACATTATATGTATGTTCGTTATAAATAGTATATATTTCGATTTTAATAATTTGGTTTTAATAATTCGATTTTATTTTATATTTATCTGCAATTTTTCTGTTAAATGTACGAGAAATCAAATATTTACTGATTTAAAAACATCGTGCTTATTCTGGCATAAAATTAAAGATAAGAAAGAACAAGTTAATGCATTAAATACATATTTTTTCCGATATCACATCATATTATACATTTTAATACATTGAGCTATTTTCAATGAAACTTGTAATACTCATAAAAATTATTCTATTTCTAAATTATTCATAACTCAAAAACTGTCTCGCAAGATTTTTGTTAATAAGTTTTCCCCAAACTGCTAAGAGAGAGAAAAGATCAGACAAAAGCAGGAATCCTTAGAAATATAATTCCCCGGCATCCTTTCCATTCTTATAAATTTCATCGACTATTGAGAGAAGAAATGTCCCAGCCGAGAAATGTGGGAAGTAAGGAATTAAATCGAAGGGACCAGCAACAGCCAAATGATGCTAAGACTTTGCCTTTCGCGCGTTCACCCGGTTTGTCGAATCGGGTCCCAAGATTTGCATACGCGGCTCCCGCTCGATGGCTCATACGTCACGTCAATATTTCCATTCACATGATTGATGCTGAGCGTCATTCGATAGACGCGACGACATAAATCAAAAGATGCTCTTATATATGTGCGAACCCTTTTCTTTTCGCTCTTTTTTTTTCTTTTTATCACTTTCTCATTTTTTCTTTCTTTCTCTCGCATAAGGTGCCGTTAGGCGTTATCAAATTGGCCAACAACAGGGAGGAAGAGGAGATTAAATACCAAACTAGAAAGAGAGAGGGGAGGAGGGGAGAGAGAGAGAGATGGGTTTTGATTGTTGTGGTATAGTGAGAGTGGTATGAGTTGACGAGGGTGCCAGAGAGGAGGTTGTATTACCGTATAACCTGGAAGCGTGTAGGGCTCGGATCCGCCTTGTACTCCCTTCCGTAATACGTCCCGTGATAGTCATTGTCGACGTATTATCCGATTACAAGCGGAAAAAGAGCGCGATGCTTCGTTAATACCTCAATCTAATAACGGCGAAAGTAATTCGTTTCCTTGCAGTTACGTTACAATAGAGGAAGCACTTTAATTTCTAATCTAATCGCATTAAATTAAATTAATTTTATTATACGAATACCGCATAAATATACACGCATACATATTACATATATAACAATCTCTTTACAAAAAATTATGTAATTATATTTTTTATTATTATATATCTTTATTATTTAAAAAAGCTTTCAACCGCGCTATAATATGCTCAGCTTGGCCATTATTCATTTATTTCTAAAGAAAAATATATAACTCTTAAATATACTTGACAAATGACGCCGTTGTATTCTTAAATGCGAAGATCGATGCTTCTTTTCCTGTAACGTTGCAATTTATTTGAATACACTTGTCAGACGTCGCTTCCGCATCTGGCAACTTTTGTATCAGCAACATACGTAGGTCGAGAAAAATGCGGAACACTTTTGCACTTCATGAAATCATTAATTACCTTCTTTAAACAACACGCAAGTGGCGAAACAGACGCGTGCAATTATTCAATGTCAATGCTTAACAAATATAGATCATCATTCGACAGTGTGGTATAAATGTCGCGCTACTGTATTACGGTGCAAGTATTGAATGCGCAAGATTACAATATGAGGCTGACAGTGGTGTTTTTAATCGTGACAATCCTGGTCTGCGCTATGATCCAGGAATCTGTAAGTGTTAACTTATAATCTTGATAATTTCTGTGACGGAGAATAATGATGCGTTACTCTTTCTGAAGGAGCAAACCTCTTGGTTCTCTCGCCGAAGACTCCATGGATGCCGCCGCCATAGGACGACAATGGCCGCTACAACGGCAACAACAACAACAACAACAACATCAACAACTTCATCGACGCCTGCAGGTAGAAGAAAGCGCGAAATTATAGCTGGTCCGCTTTTATCAGCATTGGCGTAATAAGGGTGAAGAAATTGAAAACTCAAGTCTCCGCAAAGGAAAATAATACTAAAATGCAGAAACTTCATTATAATAAAATATATGATTATATTTCCGCTAAATTAACAAGGCAAACTAGCATAGTCTAGAATTGTAGTATGTGAATGAAATAGCCTCTGTAATAAAAACATTCGAGATATTAGATATAGTGAGATAATTTTTTAAATTTTATAAAGAATATTCTAATCTAGCAAAACCGTCAAGTTAGAAATGTGCGCTCGAGAGACATTTTTTTGCAGACAAGTCTTATCGCTTTTTGTCAAATCTCTAAGATATCGCAAATCCAGCATATTCGAAGAATAAATATACAATATAATATTCGGTAATAAAAAAAGTATGGGCAGTTTTTTAAAAAAATTGTTATAATTCTTTAACGTTAGGTAAATTTTTTCAAGTATATTTTATGTAAAGTATATTTTTAATGCATCTTGATTTTATATTTTTTATATTTAAAAAATCGTAAAAACCGAAAATTTTCACGCGATTATTTTTGATGTATTGCTAGTTAGAAAAAACCCATCATTGCAATTGATACAACGTGTGTGTCGATCATACGCGAGTGTGAATAGAGAGCTTCATCGCTTCTCTTTATCGTGGTGCCTGCGGGCTCCTCGTCGAACATGCTGGATTTGCGATGATGATGTCTTCGAGATGTGGCGAAAAGCGGTAAGATATGTCGCTGAAGAAAAAAGTCGCTCGAGCGCACATTTCTATCCTGGCGGCTTCGCTAGGCTAGAATTTATTTTCCTATGAGATGTGCGTATGCGTATGTGTGTGTCTGTATGTGTGCGTGTCGTCGCAGACGCCAGCAGCTGCCGGGTACGATATTCTGCATGCGTTATTCACATATTTCCATACATAAATTTCATAGAGGTGAAAGTAGATGCCTGTTTAGTTGCATGTTGCCAATGATCGTATGACAACACGTTTTTTCTTCTTTTTGGAGGCTCTACTTCGATTACTCTACTTACATATGTAATAATTTCAGATAAAAAAATAGAAATATCCGGCATACAAATTTTACTTTTATTATTATATTTTTAAAACAGAAACACATCGTACAGTTACCAGTATCACACATTCGTTTTTTTTTTAAACTAAAAACACCTTTATATCGCATTTTTAATCATCGATTTTATTTCTTTTCGTAAAAGCGCGGCGCAATGTAAAAGCGTAAAAAAAAAGGTTTTAATACGGCAAAAGCCAGCAGCAGAGCGTGGTCACGTCAGCTCGGTGGCGTAACCTAATTTTCAGCGATTAAATGCAACGAGCGCGATAATGATTGTAAATTGAGCGAATTATGCCACCGGTGCTGGCACCCGACGTAGCCTCGTCTGATTAACATGCACGTTACGCCGGATAATGCCGTTCGACCTGACATTTGCATTGGTACGCGTCGAACGGCCTGAGATTTTAACACGTGGGCTCTGAACGGATAGTCGTGTAAAGTGCGTAAACTGCTCGCAATAATTACATTCACCCTTAATGCAAAGTAAATACGATAGAATAATCTCTTCACATTTAAAGTGAAATTTATTGTTCATACTTTTGCAGAGAGATAAAGAACATTAATTAAATAAATTGTTTAATAAAAAAATAATATATATATATATATACATTTTTTTTTTAATTATTGCGAATGTTTTACGTTGCGGTATTTTTATCCGTTCAACATGTTACGTACAGAATCTTTTGAAAAAGTGATGGAGATGGCGACGGAAACATTCTTCGACGTCGACAGATTGTTAGTTCACGTGTTCAAGCAGTCGTCCTGTTACCAATTTCCTGCGCGTTTTTCCTTCAGCTATAGAGATCCCGGCCAGGTGAAATCATGGCTATCTTTACGAGAAAAGAAACCGACCCCCACGATAAGCAACGTAGGAACTTCTGCTCGCGACAGCTACAGCTTTTCCTTCTTCCGTCTCATTCAGACCGTGTTCCCGAGTCTCCCCTTTCACCACCCTCCTCTCTCACTCATCCCCCTTCTATCTTTCTTTTTCTCTCTCTCGTCAACTAGTGCCGTAGTCAGGATTTACTATTCGTGTGCGACGTTTTCACTGTTGCGTATCGAATGCAGAGAGCCGGCAGCCAACCCCTTCGTTTTGGTCCATGAGTGCGAATCCTCGAAATGCGTGGGATAGAAAGGATAGGATGGGAGCGGGTCGGGGGAAAGCACCGATTCGACGAGGCGGGTAGACGAGGGAAGGATCGCAGAGAGGTCGGACACCACGTAAATTGCATACCCGATTGCGGTCTACTGAAGAGTGGTGCCCTCCACCGTGCCGTTCCCCCTGCCCTTGCTCGGGTGCCGCGACCCCAAACTGGATCTAACAAGCCGGCGACCACAGGCCAGGTTCGGCTCGCAACAGGATCGCCACCTCTGGGGACCGCCGGCGGCTATACACGCCACCGAACTGTCCTCTGTATGTATGTGTGCCTCGACTGCACTAACCCCTACGGTGAAAATCTTTGTGTTCACCCGCCATCCACCCACTCGCTCGTCCTAACAAGCCCTCTTATGTCCATTCGTAAACCGCCACGGTGTGCACAAGAAACGTCGCGTTTTTCTCCGCGACGCGACTCGATAAAGGATATATAATTTGATTTTCGATGTGAAAATCCATTGGAGATGAAGAAGTCTAACATCTCAGATTTTAATTACGAATGTACGACATTCTCTTTTAATAGACTGCAAGTTACAATTGTTGTCGCGGCAACGATTGTCACGCCGGGATGAGATGACGGCGACTCTTTGTCGCGATAAAGATGTAACGAGTCGAACACGGTAATGACGTTGTCACAGCGTTGTCACACTGCATTAGACAGAAAGCGACGTCACCCGCTGATCCCGAAGAATACGACCCGAGCTCTAACTAAGACTTCTCACAGATACGGAATAAAAGGGAATTCGCATTGTGCGTCGACCACGAATGATATTGTCAGATAGCGAAGCTAAATAAACTCGAGCAATTATTTCACGAAATAGTTAATTGCCGCGAACGATAAGTCTTTGTTGGAAAGTTTCTTATTCTCATTCATCTGTCACAATCAATGTCATGAATTTCTGTCTCGTTTTTTTTTTTTTTTTTTATTAGTGTCTGCGCTAGTAAGTATGTTTAATGAAAACATATTTTAGGGAAATATATTAAATATATGTGTTTATACAATATAAAAAGAATTTTCTCTATAAAAGTATTTATTTATAGACTCGGAAATGTTTTTCAGATGGACTTTTCCAACTTTGCACTTTTACAAGATGCGTGAAGTTTTTCTCGTTTCGTTAAAATGTATTCTATCGCGACGTATCAGGCGAGAGAATAGCCAAGCGGGATCGCAAACTTTAAACGGCACCATTAATGCAAAACGGTAGGCTTCTTCCAATGATTTTTTGAATAGTTCTTGGCACGTTAGAACGATTGTCGTAGCTGCGTCTTTGGTGTGCAATAGGAAAGGAAGTGAGATCTTGAATAAAGTATAGTACCATTTCGCGAAAACCCTCGTTGCAAACTTTTCACGGAGACCACATTAGAAAACTTTCTACGATTGTACGATTCGAATATCTAAACTCGGGGATATTCCATTGTATAGGTCAGTTGTATAAGGTGTCCCAAAATCACCAGATATCCTTTCAATGACAAATTTTTTAAGCTATTTAGAATCGATCTTTTCTTAGCGGAAATATTGAGAGAAAGTGATTATTAAAATTTATTAAAATTTATCAAAACTGTTCAATTTTTTGCATTATATCTTTATAACTAAGTATCAAATAAAAATTCTATTTTAAAATTCTATTTTTAAATAATTTTAGAATTCGAAAATTGTTTGCTTTTTAAAAAAATTATTGCTTTTTATATATATATATATAAAAACATTAATAATTTACTAGCATAGCACGCGCGCTGCTTTATCTTATTATTTATATTTAGTATTCGAATTTTATAAAAATTCAAATATATATATACAATATCAAATACAAATTAAATAAAATATCAAATAAAAAAAAATAGAATAAAACTCTAAATTTTTTTTTACTTAAGGGGATCCAAGAGCTCGTCTGTTTTACCGACCAAAAATTATTATTTTGCACATTGAAATTTTTTTTTTAGTTGAATAGAATAATAAATCCTTTTCCACGATTTAAGTGCACATCGAAACAAAGATGAGACTTCACGAGTTTATGTTAAAAACGAAGAAAAGCTAAAAAATTACAGTTTTTTTACCGGCTTCTTGCGTCAGGTCATAACAATATTTTTTCACCGAAATGTTTTTTACTAGGCTTCTAAATACATTTTTAAACGTTCACCTATATTCTTTCATGCAATTCCGAAGACGAAGTTATTCTATTTTGCGCATACAAACTGCAAAACTTTTATATTAAGCAAATATTAATTATTATGATCGGTAAAACAGACGAGCTTTTGGATCCCCTTAACACAAACATCGGCATTCAGCGGTGCGATGAATTAATCCTAAGATGCAACAAACAAACTTCAATCGGTACTCTCTTCCTTCGGATAAATCCGATTCGTCTTAAGCCCAATCGTATGGCAATCGCAGACATCTATCCAGATGAAACACTGGCGGCAACCAAAGCGGGATAGTCATCCACGGCGGCTGTGAGTTTCGGATATCGAAGAAGGAGATGCTGAAAATGGGAGCCGCCGAAGAGGAGGAGGACGAGAAGATGGAAGTGGAGGTGAGAGTTTGTGCTCGGAGGTAAGAGGCTGAAGAGCCCATCTGGCTTCCAATCAGAGCGTTGCCACCAGCACATGTGTTCACGGCACGTTGGAGGTGGCGGCTCAATCAACGAGGGTGCATCCCTCTCCGACCTTCTTCGTCACCCCTCACTCTGGCAACTTTATATCACATAATCGAGCCTTGAAGCCGCCGCTCCGTACCTCGTTTACCCTCCCCCCCCCTCCCGCCTCTTCATCCTCTATACCGCCATTCCTCTCGGCACGTCTCCCCTCGCCCCGCTGTCTTTCTTTCTCCGTTTCTTTCGACGGGACCGCGTCTTTTCGTCCTTCAGATACCAGCAGCTCTCCGACATCCTACGGCTCTTCCACCGCTCTCGCATCCCGCTTCCGCATTTACGAGCTGTCATCCTTCTTCTTTCCGTCGATTCTTTGCCCCTCTCTCTCTC